CAGAGGGGCTGAAACAGTGCGAGAAACAGAGTACATGAAACAGAGGGGCTGAAACAGAGGGGCTGAAATAGAGTGCGAGAAACAGTGCGCGAGAAACGTAGGGGCTTAAACAGAGGGGCTGAAAGAGAGGGGCTGAAACAGAGTGCGAGAAACAGAGTGCGAGAAACAGAGGGGCTGAAACAGAAGGGCTGAAACATAGGGGCTGAAACAGAGTGTGTGAAACACAGTGCGAGAATCAGAGGGGCTGAAACAGAGGGGCTGAAACAGTGCGAGAAACAGAGTACATGAAACAGAGGGCCTGAAACAGAAGGGCTGAAATAGAGTGCGAGAAACAGTGCGCGAGAAACGTCGGGGCTGAAAGAGAGGGGCTGAAACAGAGTGCGAGAAACAGAGTGCGAGAAACAGAGGGGCTGAAACAGAAGGGCTGAAACATAGGGGCTGAAACAGAGTGTGAGAAACACAGTGCGAGAATCAGAGGGGCTGAAAGAGAGGGGCTGAAACAGAAGGGCTGAAACAGAGTGCGAGAAACAGAGTGCAAGAAACAGAGGGGCTGAAACAGAGTGCCAGAAAAAAAGGGGCTGAAACAGAGAGGCTGAAACAGAGGGGCAGAAACAGAGGGGCTGAAACAGAAGGGCTGTAAAAGAGTGCGAGAAACAGAGGGGCTGAAATAGTGTGTGAGAAACAGAGTGGCTGAAACAGCGTGCGTGAAACAGAGAACCTGAAGCAGAGTGCGAGAAACAGAGGGGCTGAAACAGAGTGCGAGAAACAGAGTGCGAGAAAAGGAGGGGTTGAAAAAGAGATCGACAAACAGAGGGGCTGAAACAGAGTGCGAGAAACAGAGGGGCTGAAACAGAGTGTGAGAAACAGAGGATCTGAAACAGAGTGGGAGAAACCGAGTGTGAGAAACAGACTGGATGAAACAGGGTCTGAGAAACAGAGGGACTGAAACAGAGTGCGACAAACAGAGGGGCTGAAACAGAGTGTGAGAAACAGAGGGGTTGAAACAGAGTGCGAGAAACAGAGGGGTTGAAGCACAGTGCGAAAAACAGAGGGGCTGAAATTTTGTGCAATACACAGAGGATCTGAAACAGTGTGGGAGAAACCGAGTGTGAGAAACAGAGTGCGCGAAACAGATTCCGAGAAATGGAGGGCCTGAAACAGAGTGCGAGAAACAGGGCGGCTGAAACAGAGTGTGAGAAACAAAGGGGCTAAAACAGAGTGCGAGAAACAGAGGGGCTGAAACAGAGTGTGAGAAACAGAGGGTCTGAAACTCGAACACAGTGTGCTTCTCACTGAGTCTCATCCAACAATGAAGCATCCCCATTCAGCGCTTCCATTTCCTAAGGTACATAATTATCAGCAGAACCTAAGTGCTCTAAAAGTTTCCATAGCAACCACTTGAATACTGCAGGGATCAATAAAACCGAGCGACATTTATTTGTTAGCTTTTGTGTGCCTGCCATGACATTGGTTTAATTAATCGCTTGGATTCCATTTGTCTTTGAGTGTTAGTTGCAAAAACAAAACAAAAATATCCCTGAACACACACTGGAACAAGAAAATATCACGATATATTGGAGACTGCAACAGCAAGCTACTTGAAATCCTGAAAGCCTTCTTTCATTTTGCAATCATTCAAATTGTCTGAATGCTGAATTTTTAATCCAGGTATGATCCCCCATTTTAAATAACTGAAAAGCTGCAATATTGTATTTTACTAGTTCTTACTGTATTCTCTGTTGTTTCCTGGCAGCAGTGAAGAACCAAGAATCTAAATTTATTTCTGAGAAATTTGATCAAGATTGTCAATATTTGCAGAGAAATCATTCCTCAATAATTTTTAGAAAGACTATTTTCAATGTAACAACTTGTTTTATCTCTGAATGGTAAGAATTATATCTCATTCACACCTCTAGCATGTTGCTGATCTGTCTATTACCTATATTTGAAGTACTTATATACTTGTCACATTGTTTCACAGTGGAACTGTCTAGAATCCATACAGCATGGAAGCAGGCCATTCCAACCCTCTGAAGAGCATCCCACCCAAACCCACACCCCTACCCTATCCCTGTAACCCTGCATTTCCCATGGCCAATCCACCTAACCTCACATCTTTGGACTGTGGGAGGAAACCAGAGCACCTGGAGGAAGCCTACACAGACATGGGGACAATGTACACACTCCACAGAGACAGTCGTCGAGTGTAGAACCAAACCCAGGTGCCTGGTGCTGTGAGGCAGCAGTGCTAACCACCGTGCACCATGTCTAGTTCCTCCATTGTCTATTTTGCTTCCCCTTTCTCTGCCCTCCTCCTCCTCAGTGTCTGGTTAATTTGGTCTTGCTTTTATGGAGCTGACATAAATTTTGATTTTAACAACTTTATTGACTTGAAAGTGCAAAATTTGGATTTATTTTAGACTGCCAGTCAGGACCAGCAGATATGGTGACAAACAGTGAAGCAGGGCGATTTGATAAGAATTGGAAGACACATATTATAACAATGCACAGGATAACTTAATTATGAAATGCGAAAGTCCATTGTCACATCATCTGATGATCCCAAACCATATCAATTTACCTCCTGAACCTTTTTGTGCAGAATACACACAGATTCTTGACTGTCTGTGGAAGGATAATAAAAAATCTCTGCATTGCAATAACTGCACAGGAACTCAATTATCAGCCCACTGGATGTCAACGTGCCTTTACCTACGTAATACTATTTAGTTGTAACAGACAGTGAAAGCATATATAAACTGAATTATGCATCTTGGTGCAGATGTGCCAGGACTGCTCAGTGTTGGGCCCCTGCATGTGTAACAATGACTTTACTTCACAATTGCAATAATATAAAACAAAGAACTGTGGATATTGGAAATCTGAAACAAAAACAGAAATTGTTGGAAAAACTCAGCTGGCCTGGTAGCATCTGTAGAGAGAAAGTAGAGTTGACAATTTGGGTCCAGTAACACCTCAGTTCTAAAGAAGAATCACATCGAATTTGAAACGTTAACTCTGTTTCTCTCTCCACAAATGCTGACAGGCTTGCTGAGTTTCTCCATCAATTTCTGTTTTTTACTTGACTGTTGCAATTAAACTCTGAGTGTTGACATTTTATAACAGAGTATTTCTCAGGCCTTTCCAACATTTGCTCTGGACTTATCTCTCTACTTTAGAACAATTACCATTCTCTTTGTCTTTTATTCTGTGACAGGTGAGAATTCAAATCTCTGTTGTTTACCTTCCCCAATCTTCCCTGCCGTTCCGTCTACCCCCACCCCCATCATTTTCTATCAGTCCACCACTCACTTCACTTTGGAATCAAAACTTTAACTCTGTTTCTCTCTCTCGGGATGCTGCAACATCTGTTGATTTTCTCCACCAGTTGCTTTTTTTAAACTTCACGTTTCCAGCACCTACAGTATTTTGCTTTTGTCTATAATTGCACAAAAATGAATGGCAGACAGATAGTCACAGTGTCAAAGAGTTATACAGCATGGAATCAGACCCTTTCGTCTAACTCATCCATGCTGACCAGATATCCTAAATTAATCTAGATCCATTTACCAGCATTTGGTCCATATCCTTCTGAGCCCTTCCTATTCATGTACCCATCCAGAAGCCTTTTAAATGTTGTAATTGTACCAGCCTCCAACACCTCCTCTGGCAGCTCATTCCTTACATACAACAACCTCTGCAAGAAAAGG